CCGGGCGCAGAGCGCCAGCAGCGGTGGCTGGATCAGGCTGGGCAGCGCATACGCCGTGTATCCCGGGGTCAGGCCCGTGCTCCTGGGGGGTGGGCCCATGTCCCAGGGCGGGCCCGTGTATGTGCCATGCGCCCAGGGGTGGCGCCACGCGCCCGGGCCCAGGACGCCAAAATGGCTCGGGCCGGCCCTGAGTGTTGTACCTCGGCGTTCTGTACCTCGGTACCTTCGGGGGTCTGAACTGTCTGAACTGTCAGTGTCAGTGTTGTCTGGTCGGGGTCGTCCTGGCGCGCTGCTGACAGGACCTCTACTCCGTCGGTGATAAACTCTCGGCTGCGTGCGTAACAATCGGAGCTCCCTTTACCGAGACTGTTAGACCCCTGCACTTGGGTCAACACGAGATCTCCGAGAGAGCCCGGAAACGGCAGATGCAGGCCAGGTTTGAAATCAGTCGAGCAGGTTTATTGTCACATGCGAAGCTCTACTAGTCGGTAACAGAGAGCAGTACGTTACACCACTGGGCACTATGGCACGTTGACAAGGGACCAACACCGGGCCGGCCTGTTGCCTAGATCAGATATTAACAGCAGTTAGTCAAAGTGAAGCTACTGTGCGTTCTGTAAGTCTAGGTGATGACACCTGCCGGTCAGGCGCCTAGTGCACCCCCCCCAGGTCGGCCGGAGAGCACCCTCTGCCGTGTCCTTTTATAGACAGGTACAAACAACTGACGTCACTTCTTTACGTACCAGGTTGCCCCCCTCTGTTGCCTCGTTACCACCCCTCGCCTTGTGCAAGGGGGGCTCACCTTCTGTTCGTCATCCTGTCAGTTCCGCCGGTCCTGAACCTCGGTCGGCATGTGCCTAACTCCTAGGGCGTCCTCGTACCAGGCTATTCCTCAGGATGTGCCGTTACTCCGTCGGCTCACAGTCTGGACTTGGGGCGTCCCTGCTCCACCTAACGTACAGTCACACAGTGATCAGGGGGCCTCTTTCTTGGCTCCTGTGTTGCTGAGCCCAAGTGGTGCTCACTAGATTGCAGGCCTGTTGCTGTTTTCACTCTCTTCGGGCCTGCTGACTCCATGGTCCTGACCCTCAACTTACTACAGGCGGGGGCCACTCCCCCCTCGCCAGCTCAGTTCTAGATCCACCCAGCCCGGCTCCTGCTGCGTTTCTGGAGGGGAGGGTCTGCAGCCCCCAGCGGCCTGGCCTCTGGCTCGAGAGCACATGGAGCCTCACGGAGCCTGCTCCGGCCGGGCTGGTCCTTCATAACGCTCGGTCTGCACACCCAGACCACGGCTGCTGCCCCTCGCTCGTGGGGTGCTGGGGAGGCGCCTCTGGGCCCATTGCTAGCAAGGCGGGTGACAACTGCCCCCCTCCCGCCCCCCAAGCCAAACAGCCCACTGCATGGAGCTTTTGCCCAACCCCAGCCCCTACCCAGAGGGCCCAGCTTGTCCATAGCTACACACTCACATGGCCCCTTTGCTGTGGGATCTGCTCGTCTCCCACTCGTCAGCGGGTGTCAGCCGGGCGGAGAGGTGAACACTCAGACCCTTAGCCGTATTTAGGCACCTAACTCCCTTTGGTTTTAGCACCTAACTCCCTTTGGGGGTCTGGGCCCAGGAGACTTGCCCCGAGTGGCCCAGCAGCAGGGAGCGGACCCCCCCTCTCCCAGGTCAATGCGTGCGTGTGTCCTGCCTGCCCAGCCTGGGGGCATTAGCCAGAGCGGCTCAGTTCAAAAGACGCCAGCTGCTGTACGCCAGAGACCTGGCTCCTCCCCAGCAGTGCCTGCAGGCTTACAGCGCCTCGCTGGCGCCAGACACCCCGCACACCACATCCCATGCCCCGAGCCTGAGAGACTCCGAGGGTCCTTCGCCCGGCTCCTGTCCTTCTGGCCACGGCCCCACGC